TGACATCTGGGTCACATGACACTGAGCCCTGTGCCAATATATGCACAAATGAACGTCCTTTCCTTTACAAGTGTAATTCCATTTGAATGTTCCATTTGAATGTTCTCATTGTAATATCGCATTATGGCCACAAGGGGGGAGCTAATGAGTATATAAAAATGCCTATTTCTTTTGCACATTTAGTGCCATCTAGTGACCATAATGTGATATTACAATCAGAACATTCACATTTAGTTGCACTTGTAAAGGAAAACAAAACTAAAGTATATTAGTTATGGCATATAAAAAATAAAATGTAGATTTATACTTACCTTACCCCCACCTTCAACACCTAGGCAAGAGTGACCTCACATGTCTTCCCGGCTAGATCCTGGGGAATGGAGAACAGTCCAAATATCACATGAAGACCCTCTTGCTATCGACTGGTGGCTTCCTGTGAGATCTGGGGTGCTCATCTTTCCCCAGAATGAAGAGGTTCTCTGGTTCCTGCAATATACAATGAGTGGCCGGATTACTATATACACTGAGTGGCCGGATTATTATATACACCGAGTGTCCAGATTATTATGACCACCTGACGTTTGTAGGCAAATTAGCTATAATTTGGCGCTGAAGTTGCTAGAGGGCCAGACCATTATAAATAGGGAAGCAGGTTGGTTACCACTCCCTTGTCAGACACTGTAGACCAGCCAACTCCGGCCCTCCAGCTGTGCTTTAGCTACAAATCGCAACATGCCTCTGGCAGTCATGCCCGTGCCAGTCTTGCAATGCCTCATGGGACTCGTAGTTCCACAACGGCTGAAGGGCCAGAGTTGCCCGCCCCTGCTGTAGACCCGCCTTTCCTGAAGGGTGACCAAAGCCAGGCGAACACTGTCCACGGTCGCACAAGGTCTTGATGCGTTTCTCCTCGCAGCGCCTGTGTGAGCAAGGCCAAAGGATCGGATTGACTGCTATAAGAACCAGAACCTTCAGTAAAATGTATCCATGAGCCCATCAGTAACACAGCCAGTTTATTAAAAGGAATTGATGGAAAGTTCGACCCAAGGACCTGACCATTCCCTACTCTACACCTTACCAGGTCACCCAGATGATGGCTGTCCCTACGCCAGGAACCTTGCACGTAAATCGCAATCATATCCACACCACAGACATCAGACCGGCTTCTTTTATTATTAAAATGAGACAGATGACGTAAAATGTTCCCCTTCAAATTTTGCTCTTGGGCTCCCCATCCCGACTGGCGTCCGTTACCAGCGGATTGACGTGTTTATATTTCGGTTGCAGGTTTATAAAGTGAGCCGGGACGCCGTCGACGTACATCAATCGGTGAAGGCGGCCCCCTTCCCGGATGAGAGCTTCGATGGTTTTATCTGTGGAGTACTTTTTCTGTGACTGTCCAGTGACGTCCGGATCTTCGGGGTATAGATCGTCCCCTGGCCCGGCAAAATAAAGAGGAAAACGGGAACATTAAATTTGCATGAAAACTGAACTCCTAGCAGGTAAAAAAAAGACATAGGGGAATGTAGCTAAGCCCTGCCCATCCCTGGTCTCATGTGATCCCACAAAGCTCATTGCCAGGAGCCATTGATGATGTTTTCTAGGTTACACTGCACTCATGTAACCACTGGAGATCACAAACTGCTAGAAGCAAACAGTCCCTGCATATGTTTAGCTAAGCCCTGCCCATCCATGGTCTCGTGTGATTCCAGAAAGCTCATTGCCAGGAGCCATTGATGATGTTTTCTAGGTTACACTGCACTCATGTAACCACTGGAGATCACAAACTGCTAGAAGCAAACAGTCCCTGCATATGTTTAGCTAAGCCCTGCCCATCCATGGTCTCGTGTGATTCCAGAAAGCTCATTGCCAGGAGCCATCGATTATGTTTTTAAGGCTCCACTGCACTTATGTAATCACTGGAGATCAAAAACTGCTACAAGCAAACAGTCCCAATATACATTCAGCTAAGCCCTGCCCATCCCTGGTCTCATGTTATTCCACAAAGCTCATTGCCAGGAGCCATTGATTATGTTTTCTAGGCTCCACTGCACTCATGTAACCACTGGAGATCACAAACTGCTAGAAGCAAACAGTCCCTGCATATGTTTAGCTAAGCCCTACCCATCCCCGGTCTGTTTAGCTAAGCCCTGCCAAGAGCTATTGATGTTTTCTAGACACTGCACTCATGTAATCACTGGAGATCACAAACTGCTAGAAGCACACAGTCCTAGTATACATTCAGCTAAGATATAGGGGTAGAGTTTCCAAGCAGAGCAGAGTATTTCAGGAGAGGAGAGTTATAGAGGAAGGAGCAGAGTCCTCCAGCATAGCAGGATATTTCAGGAGAATGGAGTAAAATGAAGGAGCAGAGTCCTCCAGCAGAGCAGAGTATTTCAGGGGAAGGGAGTTAGATGAAGGAGTAGAGTCCTCTAGCATAGCAGGATATTTCAGGAGATGAGTTAGAGGAAGGAGAAGGAGTAGAGTCCTCCAGCAGCAGCAGAGTATTTCAGGGGAAGGGAGTTAGATGAAGGAGTAGAGTCCTCTAGCATAGCAGGATATTTCAGGAGATGAGTTAGAGGAAGGAGAAGGAGTAGAGTCCTCCAGCAGCAGCAGAGTATTTCAGGGGAATGTTGTTAGATGAAGGAGCAGAGTCCTCCTGCAGCAGCAGATTATTTCAGGGGAAGGGAGTTAGAGGAAGGAGCAGAGTCCTCCAGCAGAGTATTTCAGGGGAAGAGAGTTAGATGAAGGAGTAGAGTCCTCCAGCAGCAGAGTGCTTCTTTAACACAAGGAGCCTGCTGTGGGAGACGGCGGGTTGTCCACTCTTGTGAATATTTACATAAGGGCATTCCTAGTGAGGAAGGGAATGGAAGTAGGGAAATTCTACCTGGCAGTGTGTGCACCACTCCATCCTCTGCCTGCACTATAACCGGCATCCACCTCTCACAGCCCTCCAGGGAGCGGTTGCAGCTGAATCTGTGGAGCTCGTGAATGCTGGTAAAGTTACACAATCTACCCAGATCATAGAACTGCGGAGGAGGAATCCATGTTGTCTGAGTCCTGTACTCATCGAGGGCTTGCTGCGGGGTCCACCACTGAAACATAAAGCAGAGGAAAGCTGCAAATCACAACAATGCATTGAGCAGGTCTAACAGAGACTCCGACTTTTCAGTTTTATCGAGGGGAAAATAAACAATCCTTTCCTAGTTGGCTCTACACATTGCAAGCATTGCCACAAACTCTTACCTATGACTCCATCAAGCTGACAGTGCCCAAACGTACCCAACCCGTATTATCTCCTGGGGATTCCTACTGACCAATGGGGAAAGGGGGGGCTAACTCGCCGTAGCTTTGCCTGTCAGAATGGCTCAGCATTTAGCCACAATGGCAAGGTATTGGAAGCTTCTACAGGTAGGGCTGCCTGCACCTTATACCCATAGCAGTCTTTTTGGGGGGTAATGATAGAGTGTGTTCCCCACATTTGGGAGCAACAGGTTTTTTCGGGGGTCTCTTGCAAGAAAAAAGTATCCGTAGCAGAATGGGGGGGGGGGGGGGGGGGGCTTCGCAAAAAAAGAC